AGTAACGACTAGGGACTAGCGAGTAGTGAGTAGTGAGTGATGAGTAGTGAGTAGGGAGTAGGGAGTAGTAAGCAGTGAGTAGTAAACTGTGGGTAGCGAATAGTGGGTAGAGAGTAGCGATTAGTGAGTAGTGAGTAGTGGGTAGTGGCTAGTGACTAGCGACCTGTGACTAGTGACTAGAGACTATGTAGTGACTAGTGCGTAGGGAGTAGTGGGTAGTGAGTAGTGAGTAGCGCGCAGTGAGTAGTGAGTATTGAGTAGCGAGTATGGGAGTAGCGAGTAGTGAGTATTGAGTACTGTGTAGTCAGTATTGTCTAGGGAGTAGCGAGTAGCGAGTAGCGAGTAGTGGGTAGTGAGTAGTGATTCGGGGGCAATGAGTAGTGAGTAGTGAGTAGTGGATTAGTGGGTAGTGAGTAGGGAGTAGTGAGTAGTGTTTAGTGAGTAGTGAGTAGTGAGTGGTGGGTGGTGAGGAATGAGTAGTGAGTAGTGAGTAGGGAGGAGGGCGTGGTGAGTAGGGAGTAGTGAGTAGCGAGTAATGGGTGGTGGGTAGTTAGTAGTGGGTTGTGAGTAGTGAGTCGTGAGTAGTGAGTATGGGGTAGTGAGAAGTGAGTAGCGAATAGCGAGTAGTCAGTAGTGGGTAGTGAGTAATGAGTAGTGAGTGCTTTGGGGCTTTTGGGGTTAGGGTTAGGGGTTTGGGTTAGGGTGAGGACTAGGGGCAGGGGTGGCGGGGGCGGCGTGGCGAAAGGGGGGAGGGGGGGGGTGCGGCCAAAGGGGGGAAGGGGGGGGGGGGGTCGGACCCCCCCTCCCGTTTGAAAGGGGGGGAGGGGGGTGGGTGGGTCCCCAACGACGGATCGAAGAAAGGGGGGGGGTCCCCGACGACGGACCGGGGGAGGGCAGGGGGGGTCCCCGACGACGGATCGAGGAAAGGGAGAGGGGGGGGTCCCAACCCCCCCGCCCCCTTGGGGAGATCCAGCGGCGCACCCTCCCAAAATGTTCTCCCAAGGTAAATCGGGGCCAGGGCAATCAGGGAAAGGGATTGGCTGCTGTCGTCTCCATAACATTTGCTCCGCCGCCCTGTGACCAATCGAACCTGCAAGCACGCGTGAGTTGTGAAAGGCGAGGGCGCGCACTTGGCCACGCGCGCATAGCTGGCGAGGCCGTCAAAGGCTACGACCTAGTCGATCAACGACCCGCGGCCTTGACTGCATGTGAAATCGACAAAAGAAAAGACGAAAACACGTCCACGAGCGAGCCGAAGGAAACCAGACAAGTCCAGGTCACCAGCTGACACGTTGAATTCTCCCATCAACAACCACGGCACTGACAACGTACCCAAGAACTCAGAGATTAAACCGATCGACCCGCCCGACGCCAAATACGCTATTCCTGCGACAATCATTGCCTGCCTGATCTTCACTTTTAAAAAGCACCCAGCGGCTGCCAGAGCCGAGGTCCGCCACGGACCCAGCCGTGGAACGAAAACGCTGAACACGCTCCACCATGGGTCCCCCCCTCCAGGGGAAGAGGTGGCGGGGGTGAGCCATTTCAGTTGGCGAGCCCTCCTCTTCGCGAACTTCGCCCGCTCGCAGTCGAGGTGATGCTCGGCAAAGAAGAACATGTCGCAACTGGAGCGCACGCTGGCCGCGAAAGAAACGGCGACTTCATTCCACGATGTTATATTACAAAACAAGAGATCAATGTTGGTGGCCGCACCTTCGCTACCAGTGTGCACGTTCAAAGGACTGCTCTGAAACTGCCGCCGCCGCCGCAGGCGCCGCGGGGGAGTCGGCCGCCACCTCCGCGTCGACGGGTGCTTCTGCCGCAGTGGCCAGCGCCGCAGTTGCAGCGCCAGGGTCTCCGACGTGCGCTGCATCTGCTCCGTGGGGCAGCACTTGCAGTAGCACCCGCCCGAAGCTGGGTGCTCTGTCTTCTCGAATGGTACGAAGCCGCTTCGCTGCCTTGCGGTGGGCTCGCTTGGCCAAGAGGCGTTCCATGCGCACCTGTTGCGCGGGCTCAGGCGCACTTTCACGCGCGCGTTTCCTGAGGCCCTCAAGTTCATCGCGATGATTGTCGCCATGCTCAGAAGCTGCCATCTCCGAATCCGCATCGTCGTCCCTGGCACTGATGCACATGCGTCGCGGCATCTGCCAGTGTTCCGACCTTGGGTTGTGCTCGACGCACCAGCGCTCGGGTCCTTCCTCACCCGGCGAAGCCAAATCAGGAGGGCGAAGAGACCAGCAGAAGCATCGCCAGCAGCAGGGCCAGGTAGAACGCCATCGACACCACCCCCGCCAGCCCCCCGCGACTGCCCCCGCCGCCGCCTGGGGCGCCGAATGCGGCGGGGGCAGCCGCAGGGGGATCGCCCCCGCCGCCGCCCGCAGGCACCGCAGCGGCCGCGCGACCACCGCCATGAGCACAGCCTGGGGGAAGGCCAGCTGCAGCAGCCCCGGGAGCCACCCCGCGGCCCACAGCCACAGCAGCGGCCGCCTGCGCCTCGTACAGCGCGCGGGCAGCCTCAGCACGGACACGATCCTCTTCGGCAGTCGGCTTCCACGAAGCCGTCCTTCGCCACCGTGGCCGCTCGCAGCAGCTCCTGCCTCTCCTCGAGCACTTGCACGGCCTCGCGGTGCTGGCGTTCAGCTCCCGGAAACGCTTCGCGATGGCGCGCGACTGCAGCCAGCCGCGCCTCCACCTCGCCTTGCGCGATGCGCTCCGCTCGGGGCTGAACCTCAACCTTCTTCGCGAGAGCTGTGCGTTGTGCCGCCACCTTCTTCTCCATCTCGTTCTCAGTGACAGGCTCAGGAGGAGGCTCAGGCTGAGCCACAGGCGCCGCCGCCGCAGCAGCGCCCAAGCCCTCCATCATGCCTGCCAAGTGCGGGCACTTCTTGGCCAGCTGCCCCAGCTCCCTCGCGAAAGCAACACCAGAAACAGTTGGCTCAGAATCGTCGTCCACGTAGTTAGACCCGCACTTGCTGCAACGCCAGTTGCCGTACTTGTCTAACTCCGAGTGCCCGCATGAGTTGCGCACGGAGTAGGAGTCATTGTTGTGGGAACGCCATCCGCCGCCACCGTAGTCACGCTTGCGTCCTCCGCGCCCTTGGTGCCACGGGGCGCGGGCACGCCACGACATGGATGCCTACACACGGGGGCCCAACTCCCGCGTTGAAGGCTCGAAAGCACTGAGGCGGGGGCCCATCTCCCGCAGTAAAGGCCAACCAATGCCAGGTTGAACAGCCTTACCTGCCGCGGACTAGCGGCATCCACTTCTTGGCAGGGCCAAACGAGCATCGTGAGCCAACATGGCTACGGGGAGCAGGAGGAAGAGGACGAGAAGGAGGAAGAGGAGGAGGACGGGGAGCAAACGGAAACAAACGAGGGGGCCGAGGATCAGACGAAGGCGAGGGCCAGGACGTCCGCCGCCTCGACGGCTGCGTCGGCCGCGACCACCCTTCCACTACAATCCGCGATTGCGAGGTGATAGATATAGATAATTGTGGTAAGAGGGTGTGGCCTTCGAGTTCCACCTGGTCCGTGACCAGAGAGATTGCTGCGTCCATCCATGGCAACATCATCCCACTATCCATGATCACTTAATGCGGTCCTCGCTCCCTGTCGACATTGTTGGCGAATTCTTGCAGGCAGTTAGGCGTTGGCTCATATATCGGTTCAGGCCTCGTCTGACCAACGGGTCAGCGCTGGCGAGATCCAGCTTTTCGTATTGACCTTCCGCTGATTACATCCTCAGCGTGCCCACATCCATGGCGTCTCCTTCCCCTCGCCCTGCATGCATCCCATCCTCGTGTAGTCTCTGGCCCTAGTGTCACATGCCTTCCATATTTGTGGAGTCCTCGTCCTTCCTTTTTCGTATCCATGCTTTTCACCGTCCCCTCTCTCGTATCTGCATCCATACATTCCAACCTTTTGCAGCTCTCAGAGCGGAGATGGGCCAAGCGTGCACGTGCGCGACATGGGGGTGTCTAACTGGGTGGAAGGTATCACAAGGCACCAGCCCAGTTCTGTTTCGTCTCGGCGTTCCTAGCTTGCCATGTGCCCCGAAGAAGACCAAGAGGTTGAGGAGGTGACGCAGGATGCATCGGAACAGTAGAAATAGAGCAGCAGCAGCAGCAGCAGCAGTAGAATACGTCGTAACAGTATCAGTGGTAACAGTAGTAGAAGGCTCCAGCGGTGACCTTTCTTCAGTGCCAACGAGGGTTCACCTGTTTCTCATCGTTCGTGGCAGTGCCGCCCCCTATCCATTGTGCCGGTGGCGGCCGCAAGGCTCAGCTCTTTGTCATCGGCTGACGCTGTTTGCTTCTGTGTCTAGATTGCGTGGGTTTACTTGTGCTGCAGCCTGGCTAGAGCGCGCTTGCCCCTGGTCACACGCTCGGCAAGCTTCTGCTGCGCCCTTGTGGCGTAGGGGCTAGACAAGCAGGGTTCTTTGGCTTTTCAGAATGGCTCGATTATGAGGCGAACGATCTTCCTATGTGTTAGGGGGTGGCGACGGCAGGCGGGCGTTGGCATTTTGGCCTAAGGTTGAGCTCCCTATGGGGCCACAATCGGAGTCAGGGAGCAGAGGAGGAGGAGGAGGAGGCAGCGGGAGGAGGAGTGGCGCAGGGTGCTGCGGGTTCTAAGTGAGAGAGCCCAACACCATTATCATCCTTTGCGACGGTGGTCGCCGGGGCGACGCGTGCTCCGCAGCAGCTTGGATCCTCGAGGCTGTCTGGGGAAACACTTCCAAATAAATTGTCTCTACGGCTGGTGTGTTTTTGGATGAGGTCGACGATGTATCTTCCTTCGTCGCTGAGGCCATGGCTCTCGACCAGGGCTCGAAATTCCTTACATACTTGCACAGCACTATAACCCAAGATGGCGGCTTGCATGCTCTTTGACCCTCAATTGTCACCTCCGGCTGGCCGCGCACGGCCTCCAGCTGCGCCGAAAGAAAGAAAGATGGTGGCCGGCTGGCTGGCGAGTGCAATGCGCGCGCGGCCCCCTGGGAGGTGGCCGTGCTGCTCGGGGTTTCGCGGCTGTCGGGCAGAACCGCCGCTTCTGCCTCGCCGTCCCCCATTTCAGGCCCGCGGGGGGAGGAGGGGAGGGATGGAGGGCAGAGGGACGGAGGGAGGATGAGAGAAGAAGGAGAGGAGGAGGAGGAGAAGGAGGAGGAGGAGGAGGAGTAGGAGGAGGAGGGGGAGGGAAAGGCCTTGGCTCAGTGGCAAGTCAGGAGTGGAGAGTCAGCAGGAGCTTCCAACTCGCGTGCCGTGACACCATGTTTTTCAGGCATCAGGGAGGATGCCCACCATCGCTCGCGCAGCGGCGAGCCCGCCTGGACTGCAGGTCGCCAGACATTTCAGATGGCGGGGTCCCAGTGCCACCGTTGTCTCACTGATTTCCATAACAAGCCATGGCTTGTCAAGCAAATGTGCCGCGCGGGGCGACGTGGGGGCGCTTCTATTGCATTGATTCACCCGCTGACGCCTCAGGGAGTTGATGATTGATCTGGTTTTGCAAACACATACAAAGCTCATTCAGAGAATGACAGGTGCTACGCATGGGCTGCAGGATAACAACGCTTCGTGCATTGAGAGGCGCTCTGGTGGGCCCTGTCGCCCCCCTTCCTCTGTGCCTTGGGATGCATCGCCTGAGACGCCTCGGGCCCCGCAAGATGTCAACCGTGTGATGTAATAGGTTGTTGGCCTCTCTTGTCCGCCCACCCAGAGCGTTTGCCAAGTGTCGCATCTATTCTCTGGGCGCCGCAGGATGGGATGCCTCCAAGCTGAGTTTGAGACGCTCGTGCTGCAATATCAAATGCGCATGCACGTGCGTAGTGTAGATGCATTTCACCACGACGCTATGTGGGGATACCTCGCTCGCAGCGATGCGTTGAGCCACTGGCTCGCCTTGTTGTTCCAGGGTTTCGTTGTGGGTGTCGAAGGTGCCCCCCGCTGCGAAACGTGGAATGCGGCTCGCGATATTCCGTGGGCGGGCTCCCGACACCTCCCCAGGCCATTATTTCGCTTTCTGAGTTGTGGGGACTCCATCGACTGAAGCCAAACAATTGAACGCGGGAACGTTCTGTGGCGCCATGCGTGGATCCGGGTTGGACGCAGCTCCGCTGGACTCTTGAGGCTCAGAAGGTGGCGACAGGTAGATCTGGAAGAACGGTGCAGGAGGAGATCTGAGCCAATCGAAGCAAGATGTGTGTTGTGGCAAGCTCCGCCGACGGTTGACGGTCGACGAACCTTTTTACGCGTTGCTCAGGTGCGAGCGAGGCGTCAGAAGGCTGCGGAAAGTGCGGCGCTGCACGTACGGATTTAAATTCAGATTCTGCCGTATCGCTACACGTTGGGTGTTGCTACATGGTGCACAGGCGAAGCAGCACCAGTACGCCCTACCGCCTACCCCAATCACTTCACCTTAGATATGCGAGCTGTTGCAGCAGCAGGTTGCCACTTGGATTCCCATGTGATGCAGCTTCGCCGGGCTCCTCAGGGGCTGAGACACACGTCAGCAGTTCGGCGATCGGGATCAGTCAGCAAGTCAAGGTGTCATTTTTTCATGCGTGGGTCGTAGCTCCGCTGGACCCCTGGGGGCGGAGTTCAGACAGTGGGGGCTCAGGCAGTAGCGACTGTCTTTCGTTGCAGACCATGCACGGTAAGCTAACAAGAGAGGAGAAACGCAGGGCAGATGCGTGAAGGAGGCGGGAAAAGAAGGAGAGGCGGATAAGGAGGTGAAGTGGGAGAGGAGTACCCCAACCTGACGAATGATTCGAGATGTTTTCAGCCCATTTACGTCTTGACCCAAGACCCTATAGAATCGGTGGGGAGGGGAAAAATCGCGAAAGCGGCCCCCGATGGCCGAAATCGCGAAGAGCCGCCCGTCGTGGCGTTTTCGCGACGCCGAGAGGTTTGGGCATGTGGACGGGGATGGGTGGGACACTGGTCCCCCGAGAGGCAGACGGCTACCGCCGATTCCAGCAGGTATCCGGCCGGCGGGGTGTGCCAATTCGCTGCTGAACGCCACCGGCACCAAGGCCGTGGCGCTGGGGCCTCTGCCGCCCTCATCCTGCCTTCCCTCCTCGACACGGGGCCGTCGTCAACCGTTCTGGCAATAGCCTCCCCGACGCTCGGGGCCCCACGCGCCCAGGACAGCCCATCGGTGCCCCAAGGTGCCCCCATCAGCGCCCGGCAGTGCCTCTCTTGGGGTCCTGGAGCCCTGGGTGCTTCAAATGCCCTGGCCCTGGAGACCTTGTTTGACAACAGAGTCGTCTGTCGTGTGGCCCGTACTCGAAAGACCCCCAGGTTCCTGCAAGAGCTCAATGGCGCCCCAAGGGCTCAAGAGGCTCCCCGGAAGGAGGAGAAGGAGGAGAAGGAGGAGTGGATCGTCCGCCAGACCGTTCGAGGCACCCAAACGCCATCCCCTAGTGCTGCCCGCTGTGCTTGGATCCCCGCAGCATGCACAGTTCACAACAGAAAAGGAGTATACTTTACATATGATTCCCAGTTGACACGGACCAGCGGAGCGGAGCGGAACAGTCGCGAAGCGACGGAAAGACAAGCCCATTCCCCTGCCGGTTGAGACGAAGAAGAACACGGCGTAAGTGAAGAACATGATTTCTGACACCCTCCTGGCACTGCGAAGAAGACCGATTAACGAAACTGATACCTCGAATGAGTCCCTCCCCATTGTAGTCGACACTTGCGCAGAAAGTTAATTCACGTCGCATCTGCAACAACACATGTGTTCACTCCTCCACCGCACTACCAGAAAAGGGCTCCAATACAAATTGAATGCCAGCTGAATTCCAACTGCACCGCCAGACAATCTGTACGTACATGACATAGCAGGATGCCTTTCGCTGGCCAGGCTCAGCCACCTCGCCAGACAAATCGTATGACCCACACCGCGAGCCGAGATGACAAAGAGCCACGCGGCTGCGCCGACATGCGAACCACAACACATGAAGCACGAGATGCACATGGTATCCCTTGTCAGGGAAAAAACATTTGCCCAAGCACCACCATCCATTGAAGTACACCCAGGCGGGAGGCGTTGGGTCATTGCACGTGGGCTCCCACTGTCCCTCCCTCTTGGGATGGATAACGAAGAGACCGAACAGGAACGTAATATCCAGAAGAATATGCACAGCATGCTGAAGGACAACACTGCGGCGCAGCCACTCCAAGGGAAGAACCAGCTGTTGGTACTCCGCCTCGCCCCTGCAGCCACACATAACTTGAAGACCAAGGGCGCGAACTGGTACACCCAGGCGGGAGGCGTTGGGTCAGTGCGCAGAGGCTCTTACTGTCCCTGCCGCCTGGGATGGACGCCGAACAAGAGGTGCAGGAACGACATCCAGAATCAGATGCGTAGATAAGAACATGTTGTGCGGCTGCTCCCAGAAAGAACCAAACCAAGCATCGAACGAACTTTGCTCCGTTTAGCCGCTGGGATAGTTGTCCCAAAGCGTAGAACTTGACCCAAGTTCAGCTGAGGTGAAATCGGCTCGATGCGGCCCATATGCAGTGATTTGCAAACACCACTGGTCATCGGGTAACCCCCAATAGGGATCGCCTCCTCCGCAGACAGCCCCACAATACCAATACAAAGACGAAAGGATGCAACCCAGTGCCCCTCAAGCGCCGACGTGGAGGCACGGAGCTAGGAGTCCCATGGCAAGTGTGAGCCCAAATGGTTACGACACGCACCTCGGCCCCCTTGTGCTTGAGCCAACATGGCTACGGACCCAGTTGACACGGACCAGGAGGAGGAGGTTGAGGAGGAGGACGAGGAGCATGCGGATAGGGGACGATGTAGCCAAGATCTTGTCAGTCTGTGATTCGTCTACGATGGTTGGTGGATAGACCGCGGAGGTCGAAGCTATTCTTTGAAGAACGAGTGGTGAGGTAGCCGCAGGCGCTGACGAGGGGAACGTGTACTCTCCCGTACAGGTCAGCAACACATCGACCCACTTTCATATAGAAGATGTGCCAACGAGAGTGTGCATCCGAGGCGATGTGGGTTTTCCCTATCTGGCATGCTCTGGCGCTCACATGCTAATCCCTGTGGTGATCACCGTCATCGTCGTCGTCTGGTATAATCAGATTCGTGGTCAGAGTCGAAGTCATAGTCATGGTCATTGTCATAGTCATAGTCGTCGTCGTTGTCGTCGTTGTCGTCGTTGTCGCCGTCTATGGTGGCCTGCGTACCCCCCGCCGCCCCTCGTTCTGGCATCTTCCAACTTTTCTCAGCCTGAACCACCAGAATCACTTGCGAGTGCCAAGGAAATACAGAAATTGGAGGGTTTTGCCGTGTCCGTCCCTGGAAGGCGATATTACTCGTGCAACCATTTGCCAGCTTGTCGGACAGACCTTGTTTCGGTATGTTTCTAGGTGTTCGGATTTATTTGTGGGGTGTGGTTCTTAAGTACGATGGGAACAACATAACCCTAATTGGGCATCAGCAGCGCGTCATCGTCGACCACAGCGGGCCTGCGCAGCAAGCCCCTCCCACCCCCTTGGGGCATCCGTTTCGCGTCGTCGTCGCCGTCGCCGTCGTCGTATGTCGTCGCCGTCTCCGTTGTCGTCAACCACGGCGGGCCTAGTTCTAAATGCAGCATCCCACTCCCCATGGGGCATCCACAGCGCGTCGGCTTTGTCGTCGTCGATCGGTCGGTTGCGGTCGTCGCCGTCGTTGTTTCGTCGTCTCGTCGTCGTCGCCGTAGTCGTCGTCGTCGTCGTCGCTGTCGTCGCCCATGGCGGCCGACGGCGGCCCTGCCCAGCCCACCTCCTTGGGCATCCGCGTCGTCGTCGTCGTCGTCGTTCGCCGCCGTCGCCGTTGTCGCGCTTGCAGGTTCATGTTGCGAAGGCCCTGCAGCTGGTACCGTCGACTCTGAAGGGGGATGATGACGACGACGACGGCAGCGGCGACGACGCAACGCATTCCAAAACGAAAGCGTAATCATTGATTTTGCCCTCTTGGGGCTTTCTTGGGTGTGCTCTTGGGGTCTCCTTGGGCCTCTTGGGAGCCTCTTGGGAGCTTTCTGGTTGCCCCTTTGGGTGGACAGCTCGAAACGTCGGTTGGTGTTCCCCCTCTCGGGTGCCTCCTGGGGCCCTCTTCAGGCCCTCCGCCATCTTTGGGCGCTCTCGGGCCTTCTTGGGGCCGCCTTGGGCCCGCCTTGGGCCCGTCTTGGGCCGTTTAGGGGCGCTTTCGGCCGCCTCTTGGGCTCTTGGTGCGATGTTTGGGGCTTCTGGCCCGTCGTGGAGCGTCAGAAGGCACAACAGCGAGGGCGCGAGAAACATATCACAATTTAGTGTACGTAAGTGAGTTTCGCCTCTTGGGCCCCTCTTGCGGCTCCTCTTGGAGCTCTCTTCGGGCGTCTTCTGTGCTTGAGAGGCCGTTTTGAGAACATCTTGGGTTGTCTTGGAGCGATTTTGGGTTGTTTCAGAGCCTTCTTTGAGCACGCCGCGGTCCAAGTGACCTCAAGGCGTCTGGGAGTCAAGCAATCGAAGGGGAAGCTTCTCCAAGGGAGAGGTGCTCTCCCCCGAGACCCGGGTCACAATCCCCCTGGGCCCCCCTGTTGGTGGGGGGGATCAAAGGGAAGGGGTTCCGCTCCGACTCGATTACGACGTTTCTCGATTTCCCTCTGGCTGGAATGCTTGAGGACGAGGGCCCAGGGAAAGGGGGGTGGGCGGCGACGGCGACGGCGACGACTCAAACGGAAAAGCGTGAATGAGGGGAGCGTCGACGACGACGACGTCGATTCAAACGGAAAGCGTCTTACATACGCCGACAGGGTCGTCGGATTTGTTCAATCGTTTGCTCGGCGTGTTATTGTAAAACACAATCTGGCATTCTAACGGGGAGGGCACAGCGAGCGCACGCGATGAACGCTGCTGTGTTTGACCAAGACAGAAGAGACGGTGAGGCGCGTCTTTTTTCATGGGCGCGTGTGCGTCCGCATACAACATACGGAAATAATAAGGTGAACCAGAGGTTGTGCCTCCTTCCACCCGTGGTTCGCAAGCCAGTGGAGAGTGGTAGACCCACGCGCAACCGCCAGTGCGCCGTGAGTCTGGATCATCGCTGCTTCACGCAGCACGGCGCAGGGTGGGCAGGAGTCGGTGTCGATCATCATCCCGTACTACCACGAGGACTGCACAAGCCGGGAGAGGGGGACCGCGCAATCATGTCTTGTGTGCCTTGTGTTTTCTTGCCTCGCCTCGGCTCATCATGTCTCTTGTTTGTCTTGGTTCGCCTTGCAGTAATTCTCGCTACTCTCTGCCGTCCTGCCCTGTCCTGTTTCACCTTGCCGTGATGGCAGCGCCTCGCCTCGTCTCGCCTCGCCTAGCACTTGATGTCAACGAGAGCGAGTGTTTAGACTTTGCTTCCTTTGATGGCTTTCTCCGAACAGAAGTGTAGGAGAACGATTGTGCCAGCCGAGGGGCCTCGAGGAAGGCTGGTGCCTTCTTAGTCTTGTCTTTTTTAGCAGGATGCTTTCGGGGGGGAACATGCCTCCAGACATCAAGGTGTTGATGCTACTTCGGCTCGCCAAGTCTTTGACTACCATGTCACATAACATATCGGTGTCTGTGCGGTTGCGACCATCTCGAGCGGAATATGGGCCTCCTCTCATTGCAGCGGACCAGCGCGGTGTGGTGGTGCTGAAGACGGGGACAGTCGAGACGAATGAGCTGGCCATGACTGAGCACAAGGTATTCGAGGCAGTCGAGAATGTGGTGACAGGCAGTGGTCAGGAGCAGGCCTTTCGGGCGATCGCAACTCCGCTTCTAGCTCGGCTCCGCGATGGCTACTCCTGCACCTTGCTAGCGTACGATGTTTGGGCCGCCGGGCTGCTTGACGGAGGCGAGCCTCGCCCTGTCGGGAGGAACCATCGCCGCACCGACGGCGTGGGGCATCTTTCCTCGGTGTAGCAAAGCAAAGGAAGAGGAGAAGGCTGCTCGGGAAGCCAAGTGCAACGTCTTGATCAACGGAGGGCGCAAGGTGGTCAAGCGTGGCATGGCCGCCCCGTCGTTGGCCAGTGCGCCTTCGTCCAAGGAGCCCTCCACGTTCGCTACAGTTGGCGAAAAGTTGATACCACTAACAACTCCAGTGGAAATGGCTCAGCTATCGCTCACGATCGAGCTCACGCGCACCGCAGTGGGACACGCATTGAACGCTCGCTCTTCGCGATCTTACTGCCTGGTTCATTTTTTCTGCGTGGAGCGGCAACAGGGCCAGGTGACTAAGAATCGGCGTTTGTTCGTGGATCTTGCAGGGTCCGAGCGCATCCTCAAGTCCGGGGCGCCCACTCACACGGTACCTCGCTCCGCCCACCTTTCTTCTGCCTCTGCAGCAGCACGCCAGGTTTGTCTCTTATGCGTCGATGGAGCCCATTCTGCTTTGCCGGGGCTGCTGTGAGAGCGCAACGCCGAGATAAGCAAGTATCGCATACAATTTGTTTCCATATCCAGGGTCTATTGTTTTTGTTGGTAGTGTGGTGTCTCCGCCTTCGTTGCTCCTTCTCCAGGTGCCTCCCTTACATGCTCACACTCGCCCATATTCAACTTGTCATTCTCAGAGTCACTCATACCCAGACCCACTCATGCTCAGACCCACTCAGACCCACTTGCATGCAGTGCTGCAGAGTCACGCAAGCCCAGTCGCTCATAGTGAGGCTGCCCATCGCACTAAGGGTTCTTATTGTGGTGGGTAGTTGCTGCCACTCCACCAGGACATGATGCTATGACAGGATATGCGATGATCTGATCTGCTATGCCATGCTATGCCATGCTGTGCTTTGTGACGCTATGCTGTGCACTGCTATGCTATGCTATGCCATGCCATGTTGTGCCATGCAATGCTACCTGATGATATGGCACGCAATGCCAGGCTACGATATGCTATGCCATGCTGTCTCATGCGATGTTATGCAATGATATGCGATGTTATGCAATGATATAGCCCTCGCGGGACTACATATGCGTTGTCCGAGCGAAACCGGAACCAACTTGAATTCAGCCTCCATCCTCATCGTCGTCCCCCTCACCTCCGCCCTGCTGTATTATCCCTCCCTCTCTTCCCCCCTCCTGATTCTCCCCCCTCTTTCCCTCTTCCACTCACCTCAAAAACAAACCAGACCACTCATGAAAGCTGGCTAGACCGCCAAACAGTAGATCAGACCACACCTCAAAGGAAACCAGACCACCCAGAAGACCAGACTCCCGTGAGAAGCTAAGACCGACCACCCGCCAAAGCAATCCAGTCAGCCCAAAATGTGAGCAGACCCCGCCTAAAAGTAAACCAGACCATTCAAACGTTGACCAGACACCGTCCAAAAGTAAGCCAGACCACCCGTCAAAGCAGTGCAGACCGCCCTAAAGTAGATCAGGCCCAGTCCAAAAGTGAGCAAGACTACCCGTCAAAGCAGGCCAGACCAAGCAAAAGTGAACCAGACCCAGCCAAAAAGTAGACCAGACCACCTTTCAAAAACAGGCCGGATCACCCGCAAGTAGACAGGACTTTGCCCACCCTGGCCAGACCACCGAAGCTGTGTATCACTGCCGTCCACGAGGGGGGAAGGGGGGGGAGCTCCATCCCTTCTCCTCCGCCTCCTCCTGTCCCTTCGCGGCGGCCTCAGAGAGGGAGGGGGGGGGACATCCCCCCTCCCTCTTGCCGATTTCCCCCCTCCCCCCAAGAGGCGCCACAGGAGGAATGTGTATCACTGCCGTCCACTGCTGTCACTTCCTTCCTTTCCTCCTCTGCCTCAGTACTCCCTTCGTCGTCCCCTCCTCCTTCGCCTCTACCCTCCTCGTCGCTCCCTCCTCCTTTGCCTCTCTCCTCCTCGTCTTCCCCTTCCTTTCCGCGCGCCCCAGCCCGCCACCCCAGAATCCCCCGTTTGGCGTTTTCTGGAGTGGTCTGGCTTGCCTCGGGGCAGGGTTATGGTTTTTGTTTCGGGTGGGGTCTGGTTTACTGGTCTGCTTATTTGTTCGGCGGGGTCTGGTTTACTTTTGAATGGCCTGGACTGCTTTACTGGGAGGGTTGGTTTACGTTTGGGCTGGGTCCGCTCTACTTTTGGGCAGCCTGGCTTGTTTTGATGTGTGATCTTGTTTACGCTTGGGCGAGGTCTGGACTAGTGTTTGCCGGTCTGTTTTGCTTTGGGGCAGGTCTGTTTGCTTTTGGGTTGGGTCTGGTCTACTTTTTGGCGGGGTCTGGCCTAAATTTGGGGTGGTCAGGTTTACATTCAGGCGTGGTCTGGTCTACTTCTGGGTGGTCTGGCCTGCTATGATGGCTGGTCGGGCTTCATCTTGGGCGGGGTCTGGTCTACGTTTTGGCGGGCTTGATACCTTTTACGGGTGGTGTGGCTTACTTTTGGGCGGGGTGGGCTTCTGTTGCGCGGTTTGAATTGATTTGATCGGTGGTCTGGTTTATCGTTGGGCGGGATCTGGTTTACTTTCGGGTGGTATGGTGGTGGTTATTCTCGGGCGGGGTCTGGATTACTTGTTGGCGGTCTGGCTTTGTTTGATGGACGGTCTGGTCTACTTTTGGTCTCGGTCGGGTGTTCTATTGGGCGGCTTGGTTCACTTTTGGGCGGGGCATGCTCTACTTTGGACAGGTTCTGCTCTACTTCTGGGTGGTCTGGTCTCTGGTCTACTTGTGGGCGGGGACTGTTTTACTTTGGGGCGGCCTGGACTGGTTTACTAGGAGGTCTTGTTTGCTATGGGGCTGGGTCTGCTCTACTTTCGGGCAGGGCCTGCTCTACTGTTTGGCGCTCTGGGTTGCTTTTCTGGGCGATTTGGTTTACTTTTGGGCAGGGTCTCGTGTACTTTTGGGTGGTGTGGTTTGCTTTTGGGTGGGGTCTGGTCTACTTTTGGATGGTGTCTGTTCGGTTTTTGGGTGGTGTGGTTAATTTGTGGGCGGGGGTCTGGTCCACTTTTTGGTGGACTGGCTTGCTCTAGTCTTGGGTCAGGTTAACTATTGGACGGGATCTGTTCTACGTTTTGGCCATCTGGCCTGCTTTGATGGGTGGCCTTGATTACTTTGGGGCGAGGTCTGGTCTACTTTTTAGCGGTCAAGTTTGCTATTGGGTGGGGTCTGGTCTAGTTTAGGACATGGTTTAGTCTACTGCTCCTGGGCGAGGTCTGGTATATCTCTGGGTGGGGTCCGGTCTACTTCTTGCGTGATTTGGTTACTTTTGGGCGGGGTCGTTTCTATTTTGGGATGGCTTGGCATGCTTTGTTTGGGTGTTTGGTTTACTTTGGGCGGAGTCTGCTCTACTTTTTGGCGGTCTGGCCGGTGCAGCGCAGTGCAACGCCATGCGGTGCCATGGTATGGTATGCGATGCGATGCTCTCCTGTTCTATGCCATGGTGCGCGATGCCAGACTATGATATTGCACTACTACTAATGCGATTGCTGCGGCTGCTACTAGTAGTATTAGTACCCCTACCACTACAGCCACTACTACCACTATTGTTACCTCTACTACTACTACTACTACTACTACTACTACTACTACTACTACTACTATTACTATTACTACTACTACTACTACTACTACTACTACTACTACTACTACTACTACTACTACTACTACTACTACTACTACTAGTACTACTACTACTACTACTACTACTACTACTACTACTACTACTACTACTACTACTACGACTACTACTACTACTACTACTACTACTACTACCACTACTACTACTAGTACTACTACGACGACTACTACTACTACTACTACTACTAGTATTACTAGTACTACTTCTAGTACTACCTTACTACTACTACGACCACTACTACTACTTCTTCTTCTGCATCTACTACTACTACTACTACTACTACTACTACTACTACTACAGATGCCAATCAATGTAAGTCAATGCGCAACGATGCAGCGCAATGCACAGCAAGCCACACTGCAAAGCAATGCAAAGCAGTGTAAAGTAATGCTACACAGTTCCCTGCAATGCAACACAGTGTAAAATAACGCGTGCCAACGCTAAGCAATGCAATTCAGTGCAACGCAAAGCAATGCACAGCACTTCAATGCGACTACTATGCGATGCCAAGCAATGCAAGTCAACGCAATGCCAAGCAAAAGCGAAGCATTGCAAAGCAACGCAATGCGATGCAAACAAATGTAAAGCTGTGCGAACCATTTCCTATCAATGCAAAGCAATGCAGCACAGCGCGGAGTGCGAGCCTTGCACAATCAAAACCGTAAACGAGGACGGTGCCGACTTGCGGCGACGGGCGGCAACAAGCCGGCTGGACCGACAACGAGGCCCAGTTCCTTAGAAGAGAAGTAAGGACCCTTAAGTACAATCATTGTTTGTGGAATGAGATGGTCCGCCCCCCCCCGCGCCCCTCCCCATCCCACAGTGGCTCGAATTATCCTCTCGCGTACGCGTATTATTGACTTGTCTGATGTGTGTGTGTGTTGCATGGTCGTTCACCTTCCAAATCTTGTAACATAATGCCAGCCAACAAAGTATCGATTCCATGTTTCATCTCTTGCAGCAGATGCGATGCGGTGCACATGCGTTGAGCTAAAAAGTTCATGTTGTAGCAATCCCAACAAATAAACCACGTGGGCCACATGAGCGCGCCAAGGAGAAGGAGAGTCTGGGCTCGCGGCGCAGCGGGGCGAATCAGAGGACACAATTGCACCCGGCGGGTGTTGAACACAACGGCTGAGTTCCATGAGCGGACCGATGCTGGCCTCAATGCGACAGAGGGGGTCAATACTGCATCGCAATGGTCGTGGTGGTACCCGTGGTACAGTTGTGGTGTGAATGCCCCGTGGAATCGAGACAGTAGTGTCATTCATTTTTGATCGGGCGCCCCTTTCCCTTGCTCCCCTCGTGGATCTTCAGCAGGGATGTTTGGCCAACGCTTTCCCCGGCAGGAGCTCTTCCGAATAGAGATCACTATGCAGAGTATCCTTCTACATACGGACATGAATTTGGTCAAGGAGATCATGTGGATCTCCGACGGTGGGGTTGGATGGCAAGTTGTTGTGACGTTTCTTGCGTTTGTTTTTGTCCCAACCTAGGTCCTAGGCTTGACGCGGAATGAGCAGTATTGTCCGGCGTTTGGCTCGGGAGGTCCTCGAATGTCCGTTCCTGAGGCCGCACCTAGAGGCTTCTTCACAATATCTCCTTTTCGAGTAGGCGCCGTGAGCGACAGGGTCGCGCTGGAATTCGTTCTCGAGTTCGCGTCTCGGCACTGGCCACCATTTCCAGTTTGGAACCACGCTCCCGCATGGGGTCTGCTCCCGCCACAGAACTAGTAAGAGGCGCTGGAAGCTTAATTCGAGCCTGGAGCAGCAATGCCAGCAGCATCAGCGGCAGGAGTGGTAGCAACAGCAACAGGATTTGAAGGTACGACGGCCAGTGGACGTGGTAGTAGTAGTAGTAGTAGTAGTAGTAGTAGTAGTAGTAGTAGTAGTAGTAGTAGTAGTAGTAGTAGTGGTAGTAGTAGTAGTAGTAGTAGTAGTAGTAGTAGTAGTAGTAGTAGTAGTAGTAGTAGTAGTAGTAGTAGTAGTAGTAGTAGTAGTAGTAGTAGTAGTAGTAGTAGTAGTAGTAGTAGTAGTAGTAGTAGTAGTAGTAGTAGTAGTAGTAGTAGTAGTAGTAGTAGTAGTAGTAGTAGTAGTAGTAAGTAGTAGTAGTAGTAGTAGTAGTATAGTAGTAGTAGTAGTAGTAGTAGTAGTAGTAGTAGTCGTAGTAGTAGTAGTAGTAGTAGTAGTAGTAGTAGTAGTAGTAGTAGTAGTTGTACTAGTCGTAGTATAGTAGTAGTCGTCGTCGTAGTAGTAGTAGTGGTAGTAGTGTAGTAGTAGTAGTAGTAGTAGTAGTAGTAGTAGTAGTAAGTAGTAGTAGTAGTAGTGGTGGTAGTAGTAAGTAAGTAGTAGTAGTAGTATAGTACTAGTACTAGTACTAATACTAGTACTAGTACTAGTACTAGTAGCAGTAGTAGTGGTAGTAGTAGTAGTGGTAGCAGTAGTAGGTCTTCGCAGCAATCGCGCAGGGGACAGGCCAGTCCGCTTGAGCGCTGAGACTCTGCAGGCCCCCAGCATCGTCTACTCCTGAGCCCCCGGGGGGGCCACGTGAGTTCCTGTGGTAAGGTTCCGAGCCTGCCACTCTCTATGGTGCTGCGCCTGTGTGCTCGCTGACGCTTCAGCTTTAGCAACGCCGCCGTGCCAGCTAGCTCGGGGGCGCCCACTGTGGTGCCCCCCCCTCGCGCCGCGGACCCTGTTGCTTAGTTCTTCGTTCTTCGCACGGTCAACTGTGCGCCTAGCCGTTTTGGCTTGCCATCCTGGCCTCTTCTCGCGCCTACTTGCGCCCGTTGGCCTCGATGGCGGTACTGGGGTCGCCCCGTGTGCTGCTGTGCCGCCGCTGTCGCTTTACTCTGGGCCGTAGGGACCAGCTGCCGTCGGATAAGCGCCCGCCGCTGCATGCACGTCAGACCCGCCATTTCACCCAGAAGGGGTGCTCGCTACATACTGGAAATGAAGCAGCCACAAGGACGCTCATCCCAAGGCGGTTGGGCCGTGGTGGTGTGGTGCACGAGTCCGAGTAGTAGTAGTAGTAGTAGTAGTAGTAGTAGTGGTAGTAGTAGTAGTATTAGTAGTAGTAGTAGTAGTGATAGTGATAGTAGTAGTAGTAGTAGTAGTAGTAGTAGTAGTGGTAGCAGTAGTAGTAGTAGTAGTCGTAGTAGTAGTAGTAGTAATAGTAGCAGTAGTAGTAGTACTAGTAGTAGTAGTGGTGGTAGTGGTAGTAGTAGTCGTATCCGCCGCAGTAGTAGTAATATAGTAGTCGTGGTAGTCGCAGTCGTAGTAGTTGTAGTCGTAGTAGTGGTCGTAGTCGTGGCGTCGTAGTAGTGGTAGTACTCGTCGCAGTAGTAGTAGTAGTAGTAGTAGTCGTAGTAGTAGTCGCAGTCGTAGCAATAGTAGTCGTAGTCGTAGTAGTCGTGGCAGTAGTAGTGGTAATAGTGGAGGTAGTAGTGGTACCAGTAGTAATGGTAGCCGCCGCCGTAGTAGTAGTAATGCTAGTAGTAGTCGGGGTAGTAGAAGAAGTCTAGTAGTCGCCGTAGAATAGTAGTAGTAGTAGTAGTCGTCGTCGTAGTCGCGGTAGTCGTAGTACTAGCGGTCGTGGTCGTGGTAGTGGTAGTAGTAGTAGTAGTAGTAGTAGTAGTAGTAGTAGTAGTAGTAGTAGTAGTAGTCGCGGTAATAGTAGTAGTAGTAGTAGTAGTAGCAGGAGTAGTAGTAGTAGTAGTAGTAGTAGTAGTAGTAGTAGTCGCGGTAATAGTAGT